GGATAGACTTCTTGCTCTAGTGTTAATGTGAGACTTTTACAGGAATGAGACCCAGCTTTGATGATGTCCCTCATATGATGGACAAAAGCTCAGCCCGTTTTCACCCACAACGAAGGAGAAGGTCTCGTGGACTGCGTCAACTAGAAATTCGGGGGATTGTCTCGTCGATTGCGTCAATATGAACATCGTATTAAAGCCAAACGGCTGCAGTACAACGGGATTCAGCCGTCCTCTTCGGGTGAGATCGACCTGCGAATCTCTTCTTCATGCACTTTCATACGAAATGAAGGTCCTCCCAACATAATTTACTGGCATAAAACCACACTTCCACTGCGAATAAATATCATGAGCACAATAGCGCTTTAAGGCTGGAAGGACAAGCAACGCATTAAAAGGTTATTTTGCCAGAGATTTATATTTAACCACGCATCGCGTAAGACTTAGGGGTCTTAATAATTTATATATGTCTGAGTCTTCAAATAGTGAATAAAACTGTAAGCAAATTTATATTAAGGCATATGAACTTATATTCTGCCAACCATAATAACTGAGATAACAATAGGGAAACATGTCAGCCTGACCTCCTGGCCAGTATAACCGGTCGGATGCTCGTCATCCACGGAGAGCACTGCCGAATCAAGCGAGCTACCCATAAAATCACAACTGAGCAGGCGACTTCGATGGTTAAGTCTAAGCGAATCAGCTTCCAACTCGTTGGCTCCCATCAAGGGCGTTGATGACTGACAGACCTGCTGATGATGGCGGTGCCGGACAGCTTCGCAGAGCAGAGATTGAATCAAGTTGGTTGGGTTGGCATAAGGGGCTGCTGCAAGGAGGCGAGGGGCATGTTCACAAAGTGCGCGGATCCACCACCACGATGCAGTATTAATTATGGATACAGGGCCATGAACTAGCTTCTGGAGGAAAGCGATAATTTAGTTACAATGATATTAAATACTCTAAAGATATTGGCGTTTTGGATCGTTATATAATATAAAGATTATGTTTAATATCTATAAAAATGAGCGTAAACTTTTACCCATAGCTTGTATTTGGAACCGATTTTGCAGAGAACTTATGAACAACTAAAAACAAGTGCAATATTGCTCATATTAATATGAACCGACTACATAAATAGAGCAAGCTCTTCAAAATATCTTACAGCAAGCTCGATAGATGACTATATGGCAGAGAATAAGTGCCCAAAATCCAAATAAAAAGGCATGACAATTTGCTAACCATGAAAATAAAACGTTGAAGTTTGTCTCATAGTTAAAACTCTAATAGAATATCCCTAAGAAAGTAGCTATATATTTAACTAGATAAATTAAAATACAAAAAACCTTAATTTAAGAGTAAAATTGAAATAATTGAATATTCGTAAACAAAAAAATAAGACTACAAGAATGGCAAGAAATGAAATGGAAGAGCAGAATAGAAAAAATACTTTTGGAAAGAGACTGGTAAATCACTGCTGTTTAAATGAAAAGATTCCTTGC